ATCTGTAAATAGAAATCATAATGTGTACCTTCTGTTATTGTTTTAAGAAACATATGAAAATGCCTTGGAAACTAGCAAGTGAATATGTCTGCAGGTTATCACGTCCTTAGAGTCGTCATCTCACATTTTTGGGCTTCCATTTCCTTATCTGCAATAATGGAAATGCTGAAATAGACGTGCTTTAAGTTCCCATCCCAGTTTTCACTAAACAGCACACTGATGGGCAACAGTGGCCGTGTTGATAGACATTTTGGGGCCTTAGCAATACTGACCTGATCATCAGGACTTCTAAACTGGGTGACTTTCTTAGCTACTGATGGGTGTCAGCCTTGGTAAATGGACTTGTTTTTGTTTTTTTTAAACTGGAGTCTTCAAGAATGGAGCCTTTTTTTTTTTTTTTTTTTGGCTGCATTGGGTCTTCGTTGCTGCACACAGGCTTTCTCTAGTTGCGGCGAGTGGAGGCTACTCTTCGTTGCGGTGCGCAGCTTTCTCATTGTGGAGGCTTCTCTTGTTGCGGAGTACGGGCTCTAGGTATGCGGGCTTCAGTGGTTGCAGCACAGGGGCTCAGTGGTTGCAGAGCATGGGATTCAGTAGTTGCGGCACGTTGGCTTAATAGTTGCATCACATGGGCTCTAGAGCGCAGGCTCAGTAGTTGTGGCGCACAGGCTTAGTTGCTCCGTGGCGTGTGGGATCTTCCCAGACCAGGGATTGAACCCATGTCCCCTGCATTGGCAAGCGGATTCTTAATCACTGTGCCCCCAGGGAAGTCCCTGGACTTGTTTTAATAGGCATAAGTTATGAAACATGCCATTAGGTAAAGTCATAGACACTTCCAGGTACTTGGTGTTTTTGTTTATTAAATGTGTTTCTTTGGCTCTTTTGAAGCTGTAAGCTTTTTCGTTGGTTGTTTACTTTGAACGTCCAAAGACCTACTTTATGTAATTTTTTTATAATTTGAAGATAGGATTGGGGTACAACCTCTTTAGTGGTTGATGGAATTAATTTCTTCCATAAATGGAGGTTCTTCTTGGTGAATACATTTATAGACGCCAGTCTTTTAACTAGTTTAAAAGACCAGATCAATATTGGAGTTGTTTACATGGAAGTAGGCCATTATTTTTTTTTTTTTATTTTTTTTTTTTGTTGCAGTACGCGGGCCTCTCACTGTTGGGGCCTCTCCCGTTGCGGAGCACAGGCTCCGGACACGCACGCTCAGCGGCCATGGCTCACGGGCCCAGCCGCTCCGCGGCACATGGGATCCTCCCAGACCGGGGCACGAACCCGTGTCCCCTGCATCGGCAGGCGGATTCTCAACCACTGCGCCACCAGGGAAGCCCAGTAGGCCATTATTTTTTAAACCTGTGCTGAGCTGAACTTTACCTTTGAATTATTTATGGAAACAGGCTTATGCAATAAATATAATCAAGATTTTTCTTTACCCATAAGTGTGTTTAATACATTACAGTATGTAAGCACTTTCACAAACATTTTAGTAAAATAGGTGCAGAGCAGGTTTGAGTTTCTGAAACAAGCCAACCCTATTTAAGAACTTTACCAAAATAAAGTATGTATTATTGCTGCCAACAATTACAAATACATGTTATGACATTTAAAAAGCTGTGCCCCTCTGTTTGTCGCTTATGTATTTGAAGGTAATAAAACTGTATTACTTTTTAAAACATTCTATAATTTAGATTTCTTACTGATTGAGACTGGTCTTTCCTGCAGTTAATCCAAATGAGGAAATCTATGGAAAAGCTAATGGCTTGGCGGGTAGGGGAGGTTACTTCCGTTACTAAAGATAAGCCATTGAAGAGCTACAAGACTTACCTACGAAAGGCTTGTTTCTCAGTTTGTCAAGAGTTCT